CTGCTGAACTACCTAGGAAGCGCTGACAACATCAATGGCCGGGCCTGGCTGCATGGCACCCGTGCTAGGACACCTAGAGGTTCAGATCAAAAAGCATGGAAACCGTGCTTACTTAAAAATCAGCGCCTGGAGCCGGGCAGTGGGGCGGCGCGAACACAACTGGACTGACATGGGAGAGCACACGCGTGTGTGTGATCGAGGCCAGCTGAGACTGAGGGTGAGTGACAGCACGGGATCCTGCAGGGGGTGCCTGTCTCTGTCTCCTCTCACGAAAGATACTTAAAAACAAGAGCAAAACGGTGTCTGACACAAGCTACGACCTTGAAGACATACTAAGAGAAGTAGCCAGTCATAAAAGGACTATTACTATGGGATCTCACTCACGGGAGGTACTGAGGTAGTCAAACTGACAGACGACGAAAAAAGAAGGGTGGTTCCCAGCAGTTGGGGGAAGAGGAAACAGGCAGTCAGTAAGTGGGCAGAGTTTCGGTTCTGCAAGAGGCAAACAGTCGTGGCGATGCGTGATGGGCACGGCTGTCAGCTGTGTGCACTGCCAACTGCCACCGAGTGTTACACTTAACGGTGAGGATGGGAAATGCCACGCAGCAGTGTGGTAAGTGAGGGAGCCAGACCCCACATGGCCGACTGCAGTGCAATCCCTGCCCCCAACTCGAAAAACAAGAACTCTGAGAAATGGGAAAAGGACTGTGGCATGTCCATGCTGCATTAGGGGGCTCGCTCGTTCTCTCGCTCCCTCTCTCCCCCCTCTCCCGCTCTCTCTTTCTCTCTCCCTCTCCCTCCCTCCCCCTATCACTGACAAGTGTACACACCCTTTAAAAATTTTTTTAAAAAGGTAAATTTTATGTGTATATTTATAATTTAATTTTTTTTCAATTAAGAAAAGAAAAAAAGCTGGGGTCAGCAGGTGGCATGTGGGTGCCAGACCTAGCAGCTTGCTAGCTTGCTTTCTCATTTTCTCTTTTTCTCTCTCTCTGTCTGTCTGTGGTGGTACACATGCTCCATGGCAAATTTTAAAAATAATGATGAATAAAATAAATAATTCTTAAAAGAATTAAATTAGAATAAGCAGAGCCTGTTCTTACATTTTCAGGTTCCCAGACCTACTGGATCAAAACAACCCATAACAGAAGGTCCAAGATTTGAGTCTCAAAGTCCCCCTGCATGCACCGGACACACGCCCATAACACAGACTGAGCGGGGGATCACGACTTCAAGGCCCTGTTGGGAGTATCCATCTCTCTCTCTTTCAGATAAAATAAACTTTAAAAAACAAGAAGTACCCTCTAACATTTGGGAACTCTGTCCCAGTCAGGTGGCTCTAACTGAAGACCTGGAGGATGAGTATTTGGAAGAAGCTGTAGTAGTGAAAGGAATATTGGGTGGGGGAAGGAGGCCATCAGAAAGGCACCTGAGTCGGCCTTGTTAAAGGCGGCTCACTTCAGCTCGGGTGGCTCACTGGTGGCATTTATCACCTCATGTATGGCGGCCTGTCAGCTGGCCAGCTCCCTCCACTCCAGTGCGCTCACTTCTCACACCCCCTCCGCACCCCCTCCCTGTTAGCAGTACAGCAAGGAGAGGCACGGCGGATGGTGCCACATTCTCCGCTCGTTTTCCCTCTGACTTCATCATCTTTTAAAAATAAACTTGACTGAGGTATGATCCACGTGACGTAAACTGCAGCCACATTAGTGGACAGTGTGACTTCCAGTAAAGGTATATACCCTGTATTCACCACCAAGATATATTCCCATCACCCCAAAAAGTTCCCACAGGCCCATTGGAAGTTCATCTCTCCCTAGATTCTCAGGCAACCACTGACCCATGTTCTGTCACTATGGATTTTTTACTGTTTTCTCTAAAATTTTATATAAATGGAAACAGTTTAGACTACTTTGTGTCTGGCTTCTTTCACTCAACATAAATTTTTTTGAGATTCGTCAAAGTTGTGTGAATCGTCTTTATGACTGAATAGCATTCTGCAGTGTAGAGGGCACCCAGGCTAGTCACGGAGACAGAAAGCAGCTCCTCCCTGGTGGAGGGTGGTCACACCACAATCCCTTTCCCACCATTTTCCACCCTGTCAGGACCTGGGGCGCACAACCACACGTGCCTGGCATGGTTTTTCAAGGCATCAGGGCAGGACTTGGACCACAGCTGGCCATGTGGAACCCAGCTCCCAATGCACAGTGTTTACCGACTGTACTATTGGGCTGGCCCGCATTTATAGATACACAATTTGTTTATCTCTTCACTTGTTGAAGGACATTTCACTTGTTGCTACTAGGAATATGGCTGCTTTAAATATCTGAATGAGTCTATATGGATATGTATTTTCATTAGTTTCGCATAAAGACCTGAGAGCGGTATGGTCATATGTTAAGTGTGTGTGTACCTTTAAACTCACATGCAGCTGCTCGGGCATGGCTTTGGGTCTATGCACAGTCTAGTCCAAGGACGCTTGGGGACTGAGTAACTAACGGTGCTGTGACCAGGTTCTTAGCCTGGGCTTGCTCAGTGGCTTTCACAGCCTCGGGTACCAGGTGAATCAAGACCAAAAAGAGGGTAGGACGCGTTGCCTCAGTCAAAATAAACAATGACTTAAAACAAAGATAAAATAATCATTAAAAGGCTCTTACACAAAAATAAAACACAAAAAGAAGAGGATGCAACAACCTATGGATTTCAGCTAAAAGTCCAAATAGAACAACTAACAAGTAATTCCTTACCTCTGTGCATAATCTTGTGCTTCTCCCTCAGATAAGTCAGGCCTTTTATCACCTAGAGGAAAGGCGTGTGAAACAATCGGGAACAAGAACAGTGATGCTTAGGAAAACACTCTTAAAGTGATCTAGAAAATATTTCATCTAGGGACCAGCAGTTGGCATAATGGATATGTCGTTGGGCTCCCATGTAGTTGACCATGGTTTGAATCCCAGAACCGGTAGCTTAAACTCATGCCAGGCACGTGTGCGTACGTGCCCAAGATCCCAAGAGGAGAAAGGAGGAGAAGGGATTGCGGCATGGCCATCCTCCCTCGGGGGTGATTTCTCACTTTCTGTCTCTGTCTTTCTGGTGAGCACACGCGCCCTACAGCAAAAACCTCTCCCCCCTCAAAGAAAGAAAGAAAATATTTCATCTATCTTCACAAATTTGTCCTCTTCCCCCCCCCCCTTTTTTTTGAGAGGTTTTTGCTAGAGGGCGCGTGCACTAGCCAAAAAGACAGAGAGACAGAGAGACAGAAAGCAAGAAATCACCCCCAGGGAAGATGGCCACGCTGCAATCCCTTCTCCTCCATTCTCCTCCTGGTATCTTGGGCATGCACACACACGTGCCTGGCCTGAGTTTAAGCCACCAGGTCTGGAACTCAAACCGTGGTCGGCTACATGGGAGTGCAGCGACATAGCCATTACTCCAACTGCTGGTCCCCTCCTCCCTTATTTTTCATTCTTTTTCTGTTTGTTTGTTTCATTTTGTTCATCTGCCGTATCAAGCAACCACCTTCTTTCTTTTTCTTTTTTTTTTTTTAATTGCTATAGGGTATGTGTGCACATCAGATAGAAACAAACATAGGGGGATGGCACCGCCCAGTGGGGTCTGGTTGTGCCACCATTCCTTCTCCATTTCTCCCTCCATTTGATACTTGGGTCACACACACACAGCAGGTGTGTTTTTCAAGCCACCAGGGCTGAGATTTGAACCACAGTTAGGCATGTGGGTTCTGGTTCCCCTAACCACTAGGCTAGGGGCCAGCCCTCAAGTAACCATCTTTTTACATAGTATGCAAAGTATTATTTTCAAATAAAACTAATTATTGCAAGTTTAAACAACTTAAAAAATACTATTATTGAATTACTTTTTCTACATTTGCAAACTGAAAAAAGAGCTTTCTGATGCCACAAATAGGAATTTTAATGTAAAGAAAGTCACTTTTCTCATTCTAGCAAGAGAGATAATGTAGCTAGACTCCAGATAGGAAAAAGTCGAGTGAGAAAGTCCACTTCTCGTAAACTTCCCCTTTAATGGCTTCCTTCCTGCCGACTCGTTGACTTATCACTGAGAGAACTTGGAGGGAAAACGTCACAACATACTCACAGCAATGCTAACTTTTCCTAAGATTTGCTCAGGAATTCTTCCAGCTTTCTTGAGAACTTGATCCAAGGAACCCCCATCCTAAGAACAAGAACAAGAGCGAGTCAATCTCACACGTGGCATATCCGCCCAGGTGTCAGGTAAGCACACTTAGGTTTGTTCAGACATCAAAGAGGATATGAATGCACAACTTTGTGGGAGGTGTCAAGTGACCAGTAACTCCAATCCTCTATCATGAAATGAACTGCTAATCCTATGGCCACAAAGAAGGCTTCATGTAGGACTGGTGGGGGCACCGTGGTAACACAAGTGGGCTCACATGGGAAACGTCCTCGTTCATATGCCAGGACCTCCCTGAACACATCAAGTACACTTGCGTGTCCACAATCTCGGCTGGTTGGGACCAGGGGTGGATTGTGGCATGAAGACTCTGCTAAAAATGCCTTTCTAGGGAACCAGCAGTTAGCATAATGACTATGTCGCTGGACTCCCACGTAGTCGACCGCGGTTCGCATCCCGGACCCAGTGGCTTAAAACTCACGCCGGGCACGTGTGCGTGCATGCCCAAGATCCCGAGAGGAGAATGGAGGAGAAGGGATTGCGGCGTGACCATCCCCCCTGGGGGGTGATTTCTCGCTTTCTGTCTCTCTGTCTCTCTCTGTCTGGTGAGCACACACGCCCTATAGCAAAAAACTCTAAAAAAAAAAAAAAAAAAAGAAAATGCCTTTCTATTTCTCTTTATCTTTCTCTCTCTCTCTCTTTTCTCTCAGAGAAAATAAATAAATTTTTAAAAATAAATAAATAAAAGGCTGGGCCAGCAGGGGGCATGGTGGTTAAGGCACTGGATTCCCACATGGCTGACCATGGTTCAAGTCCTAGACCTGGTAGCTTGTGTTCTCACTTCCCCTCTTTCACTCGCTCTGTCTCTCTCTCTGTCTCTGGTGAATACACTTGCCCTATAGCAAATTAAAATAGTAAATAAAATTAAATAATTTTTTTTTGGAGAGGTTTTTTGCTATAGGGCGTGTGTGCTCACCAGACAGAGAGAGACAGAGAGACAGAAAGCGAGAAATCACCCCCTGGGGGGATGGCCACACCACAATCCCTTCTCCTCCATTCTCCTCTCGAGATCTTGGGCATGCACGCACACGCGCCTGGCATGAGTTTTAAGCCACCGGGTCCGGGACGCGAACCGCGGTCAACTACATGGGAGTCCAGCAACATAGTCATTACACTAACTGCTGGTTCCCAATATTTTTTTTTTTTTTAAAAGGCTTCATCTGCTCTGACCTGACAGTACAGGGCAGTGGTTAGCGGTAAAGGCTCTGGAGGTAAACTGCCTAACTTTGAATCCTAACTCTGCCACTTACCGACCAGGGAACCTTGACCAAGGTACTCCATTTGTAAAGTGAGAATGGTAGTAAGGCTGTCATGACCATCGCAGAGCTATTCTAAGGTTAAACAAGCTAATATAAACACAGCACTCACAGCTTACTAAATCGCATACAGTAAGTGCTCAAAAACGGCAGCGCTTTTCACCGCAATCATACTAGACACAACCTGCATTTTCATTAACCTAACAAACCACAATGAACAAAATCCAAAGAAAACAGCCACAGGAAACGGGAACTCATTCTACAAATCCTATCGAGTACAATAGACTGTGTTAGGTTCTTAAGGGGGTGGAGACATCAACAAGAGCTAGTTTCTGCCCTGAATAAATTCATTAACTAGGGGATCAGCAGATGGTGTAATGGTTACATCGCTGGACTCCCACATGGCCTACCACGGTTTGAGTCCTGGACCTGGTGGCTTGAAACTCATGCCAGGCCTGTGTGGGTACGTGCCCAACAATCCCAAGAGGAGAACCGAAGAGAAGGAATTGCGGTGTGGCCATCCCCCCACGGGGTAGTTTTTCACTTTCTTTCTCTCTGTTTCTCCGGCACGCACAAGCACCCCAGAGCAAATCTCTCTCTAAAAACAAAATGTATTGGGACCAGTAGTTGGTGTAATGGCTGTGTCACTGGATTCCCATGTAGTCGGCTGTGGTTCAAGTACCAGGCCTGGTGGCTTAAACTCACTCCAGGCGTGTGTGCATGTGTGCCCAAGATCCAGAGAGGACAGTAGAGGAGAAAGGATTGTAGTGTGTCCACTCCCCCCGGGGGGAGGGAGTGATTCTCGCTTTCTGTCTCTCTCTTTCTGGTGAGTGCACATCCCCTATAGCAAAAACCTCTCCCCCATCCCCAAAAAAGTTAACTAGTAAAGAAAATACACAATTCTCAGTGAAATTAACAAAACCACAGGTAGATACAAAAAGTGCTACAGACACGCAGAAGGGAGAAATCACTCTGATTTCACTTCACGGAGGACATCTGAGCTGAAGCTTTATTCACTTAGTATGACTTTAAACCTAGAAAGGGGAGGAGCAAAGGCGGAGAACAAAAGGATGTTTCCAGGCATCTGAAAGCAGAGAGGCATTAAACTGCTTAGCATTCCTGGGATGGCACGTGGCCCCTCTCACTGTGGGTGCAAGAGACACAGGACGGTCAGGCTGGAAATGGCCAGCTGCTATCAAGAACACCCAGGGCCAGGACTTAACTTTGAGGAGGCAGAAGTAAAGGGCCCGACCTGGGGTTGGAAGATGAGAACCACAGCAGCCACGAGACAGGACGAGCCTTTGAAGGCAGGGAGATCAGCAAAGAGCCGATGATGAGGCAGATGCAGTAAAAGAGAGAGCACACGAGGAGGAGGCAAGCATGGCAGAAGTCAGATGCTAGTGCTCACACCCCGGGGCATCCCTGTCATGAATTCTGCATTTCGACCTGGAGCTTAGAGCTGTGCTTCACTTGGGGAACCCTGATGTATGAGGGCAGGAAAGGGCTCACACCCCTATGGCTGCAGGTGTTACTCTATTATCATCCACAACCTAAAATTACCCTTAGAAATAGGATAATTCTTTAAACTCAAATTGATTTTTTTGTTTGTTTTTAAGTTTTTGACATAGGGCCTGTGCACTCATTGGCGAGACAGATACAGCAAAAGGAAGCTAAGAAATCACCTCCCAGGGAGGATGGCCATGCTGTAATCCCTTCTCCATTCTCCTCTCCTCTCGGGTTTTGGGCACACATGCACACGTGCCTGGCAAGATTTTCAAGCTGGGACTCAAACCCTGGTCAACCATGTGGGAATCCAGTGCCTTAAACACCATGCCACCTAGTGACCCCCCAAACTGATTCTGTAAAATCCTTCTCTCTCTCACTCGCTTTTTTTTTAAAAATAATTATTTAACTTTATTTGTTGTTATTTAATTTGATGAGAGAGAGAGTGAGAAATAAGCTGCCAGGTTGTGGATTCAAACCACACTTGGCCATGTGGGATTCCAGCACCTTAACCACCATACCACCTGCCGGACCCATAAAGTACTCTCTCTACACTGAGCGGGTACCGCCAAGATTTTTCAAATGCCTCTGTATAAGGTCTAGAGATAGGTCATGTCTAGGGATAGAAGAACCCATGAGATACAGATCAAGTGCACTCTGTGCTTGGAAAATGACACGTTCATACAAGGCGAGGCACATTCAGTCTTCCCCTCAAATAAGGCAGGGGCCGGGAGCGGGATGAAGGGAACACGGACTACGCTACAGGGGGCCAGGGAGTGATTCTCAGACAAAGAGGACCAGGGAAGGCTCAAAAGGGAAGGACGCAGAGACTGAGACTCAGTGGAGGGCAAGGCCTAGACAAGTGGAGCGCGGTTCCCAGACACCCCGCCGCAAGATGGCCCCGCCTCTGCGACGCCGTCAGAGAGCCAGGTCGCTGAGTGACAGGGAATGTGGCACACCAAACGAGGCAGAGCACAGACTAGCTCCAATGGAAAGGAGAAAGTGTGCACATGATCACAGAAAACAAAATAAAAAACCAAAAACACGAGTGCCGGTCACCTGCAGTCTAGGCAGCTAAGATTATCAGAGATTTTTGTTATATAACAGTTTCTTCTTTGTGTTTTTCTATTGTTCCTAATCTATCTACAATGAATATATATCTTACCTTTTTAATTAAAAAAAGAACATTTAAGGAACCAGTAGTTAGCGTAATGGCTATGCCGCTGAACTCCCATGTAGTTGACTGCGGTTCGAGTCCTGGACCCAGTGGCTTAAACTCATGCTGGGCACATATGTGTGCATGCCGAAGATCCCGAGAGGAGAATGGAGAAGGGATTACAGCGTGGCCATCCCCCCGTGGGGGGGGGTGATTTCTTGATTTCTGTCTCTCTGTCTCTGTCTCTCTGGCGAGCACACACGCCCTATAGCAAAAACCTCTCCAAAAAAAAAAGACAAAAAGACATTGAACTGCCAGAAGGTGTTGTGTACTTGTCAGAGAAAGAGAGACCCCCATACCTCACCCCACAATCCTTTCTCCTCTAGTTGTGGGCATGCACATAAATATCCCCAGCATGTTTCCCAGCCACTGGGGCCAGGATTCAAACCAGGGTTGGCCATCTGGGGCCCAGCTCCTTATGCACAGTGTTTAATGCTGTACTACAGAGTCAGCCCAATGTTTTTATCTTTTTAAATTGCTAAACTTATTTATGAAAGGGAAGAATTCAATGTATAAATCAATGAACAAATACTGAACACCACTTTTGCAAAGGCACCATTAGGGAGATAGCAAGATTTTCAAGCTGGGACTCAAACCCTGGTCAACCATGTGGGAATCCAGTGCCTTAAACACCATGCCACCTAGTGACCCCCCAAACTGATTCTGTAAAATCCTTCTCTCTCTCACTCGCTTTTTTTTTAAAAATAATTATTTAACTTTATTTGTTGTTATTTAATTTGATGAGAGAGAGAGTGAGAAATAAGCTGCCAGGTTGTGGATTCAAACCACACTTGGCCATGTGGGATTCCAGCACCTTAACCACCATACCACCTGCCGGACCCATAAAGTACTCTCTCTACACTGAGCGGGTACCGCCAAGATTTTTCAAATGCCTCTGTATAAGGTCTAGAGATAGGTCATGTCTAGGGATAGAAGAACCCATGAGATACAGATCAAGTGCACTCTGTGCTTGGAAAATGACACGT